ACTGGAGTAAAGGACAGCAGTTAAATAATAATCACCCAGCAAGAACGACGCCGCGCTCCTATTGATTGGCCAGATTTGTTTGGATTTCGTTTGCACGTCGCATGCGTGCGGATTTGTCAATATCTGATTTGTGTGTGTCGTTGTGTCGTTGTCGATTTAGCTGTTGCTGCTGCTGCTGCTGCTGCTGGTGTTGTGGTTGTGGTTGTGGTTGCGGTTGTTGTGGTTGTGGTTGTGGTTGTGGTTGTTGTGGTTGCTGTTTTTGTTGATGATGTTGCTGTGCGCTTGAGTGGGCCAGTGCTTGTGTTTGCCTGAAGTTCTGTCCTGACTTCCGCCCAACTATTTGTAACTATCTATTAACAGTATCATCTTTGGGACCCTAAGCGGCCGCAGAGTTTTACGGGTTTGCTGCACATGTCAGCGGCGCAGCAACTCATCGACGCTGACCTCAGTTCTCCGTGTAAACGTAACAAGGTTCTGCGGACGCGGTGCCTTACACTATCTTGCCTCCCGGCTGCTACAAAGGATGCATGTGGAACCTTCGCTGTATTGTCCCATGCAAGCCCGGTAAGGTATTTCCATGGAAATGCTGGACGCAGCCTCAGACAGTGGCGATGCACAACCATCAACAATCATCGGTACATTTCAGATCATGGCGCTGTTGGCTACGCTCTGCATGGAGGCTGCATCATGGCACGCGCACGCGCACGCACGCAGCCACGCCCGCCGCCCGCCCGCCCACACGCACGCACGCCCGCAGGCCCGCGCATGCACGCACGCACGCATGCACACGCACATTCTTTTTTGCTTACTTTTGTCCAGCTCCTCTTGGGGATTTCGTCGGCATTTTCGGACCCGTCTAACACCCGACGGTCAAGTACTGCGTAGCCGGCAATATCTCACAGAGTGAAAGCGCAACATTTGCACCACATCGCTTGCTTGGGCTGGCGGCACTGGCAATGCCGTGGTTTCGGGTTCACCAGGAAACATCGGCCACCGCTTGGAGAATGTGAAAGACATGTACAAGCAGCCGAGATCTGAATGTAAAGCTGTCTTCGGTGCGATTGGCATCGAGATTTCTGCAAGGTTGTCTGTCAATGTGTTGATTCTTGATTACCGTGGCTACGGCGATTCTGAGGCCAAGATCAGCATCTCAAAATCCCATGGGGTGGTGTATCTCGCTTGTGTCACTTTGAAAAGGATGGAAGCGGCCCATCAGAGCATGGCTTCTTGCAGGCAGGGCGGTTCACAGGGCTGTTAAACGCACCTCTTGTGCCACATACTGATGGCATTGCGGAGGATGCGGAGGCTGCGTACCGGTGGCTCGTGCAGCGGGCTCGAAAGTCAGGCGACGCTTGCTGTCTGCCATGACACGTTGGAACATGCGAGAAGGACTGGATAGACTCGACAGCGACACTTCAAGTTGGTAGATCTCTACTTGCGCAACTGCTTGCAGCGAGCGAGCGCATACCTGAGAGGCAGAGCGACATCAAGAACGAGTAAAGCATCCCCCTATTCAAGCCTCCTCACCGAGTTGTTTTTGAATTTCGTGTGATGGCCTGCTGTGTGGATGCGTAGACTTGAAGGCCCCGAGCTTGTAATCGACTTGCAGGCTCCTTAAAGGAACATCTTTGAAACGAGGGGGAGTGCACAACAACAGGAACCTGGGAAACCATGCTGGCTGCATGTCCAGGCGTCAATGGCGGCTCCATGCAGATTCGCGTGGTCTTCAGAGTCGAGCTTCGCTTTCGGAAGATTGATTCTCTGTGTAACCCGGCTTCCGAGGCGACGATCGAATTCTTTTCTTTGGCCGTTCCATCGGTGGCGCAGTGGCAGTGAAGCTTGCTGCGCATGTGCCGCTTGTTGGTGATTGGCAAGAGACGGACAAGTCTTTGGATTTGCGTATCGGGACGAAGCATGTATGACCTGCGACGTTGTCACGTCGGTGAAATGCTTTGGCTTCGACAGGTTGAAACAGAAGCACGACGAGGCCTTGCTGCCTCGCTGCTCTCGAGTCGATGCGCAGACATGTTGCTGCACTGACACTGATGGAGCCTATGGAGTGCAGAGAGCAATCGATTTTGTGTCGAGCCCGGGCGGTGTCCCGCTGGCCTTGTGACGGGCGGACGGCCAAGGCGCTGCAAAAGCCCAGAGGGGGAACACCGGAACAGGCAAAATGGTGAGCAAGACTAACAAACAAGAGCCATGGGCTTTTGAACCATTGATGGCATTCGGACAAGGACCACAACCGAGGAAAGTTGTATAAAGAGTCCTTGGAACAGGGAGTGGCTTGAAGGGCTCATCATTTCACAGCATGCAGACAAACACGACGTCCCAAAGTTCAAGAGCGAGTAAGCATTACATTGTTACATGTTGACGTCGATGCGAATTTAGATGAGGTCGCAAGCCAAGGGCAGAATAATAGCGACCCCGCGCGAGCTGAGAGGAATTGCAGACCACCAATTCTCCACCAGTTTGCGACAAACTTGTTGCTGGGAAATTGGGCTGGTAAGCTCCTTTTGTAGCAGCTGAGTAGGCTCTCTACAACTGCACCTGCGACTTGACCGACGGAGCATCCATTTGTCCGTTGGGCTGCACCAGTTCAGCTGTAAAAGGACCGTCCCAAGTCTCTACTACCAGCAACAAATTCGGTTAAAGTCAGGGGCGATAGGCTTACACGCTTCGTGCGTGCACCAAACACTTCCCAAACTTCGACGTTGCTGCTTGTGTGGGCCAAAGCCAACGCGATGGCTTCTTGGGTGTCATTTGAGCTCTTAGATGGCTTCTGTCCATAATATACCAAGAGCCCTGGTGTCGGCATGCGCCTAATTCCTTCTCCGGCCGAAGGCCAGAAGCTGACGGGGGGTGTCTCTCGGAAGTCTTTCGCATGGCCTACCATAACGGTGTGTCACTTGGTGGGAGGATTTGCTGCAGATGAAGATGATGGCGAAACATAAGCTATTGAAAGTTTCAACCGGAGGTGTGCCTGCCTCATGATCCTACTAAGTCCAGCCCAGCACGGGGAAATGCAGAAGAGCCTTTTGTGCTGTCCACACGGTAAGCCAATGGAAATTGCGGTCTTCGTCGGACTGGCCTACTCAACCGTAAAGGGAAGACAGGCTAATGGGCGACGGTTGCGTGTCAGCTGCTTGCAGCGACCAGCATTTTCAACCTGGTGAGAGTCTGCGAGCCAGAACAGTGCTTGTCTTTCTTTGTGGTTTTTAGGACCCGAGCTCGATCCAAAGAGCAATCTAGTGCTGTAGTTTGTGCAAGTGCCTGGTTTGGAAGTGTTGGGGAAGAAGCTGAAAGCCAGCTCTGCTGATGCATGTATGTTTACAGGTTATAACACGGAGGGAAAATGCCAGACGAAGGAAAGTACCCTGCTGGCATGCCTGCCCGATTGAGAACCACATGCTCCTGCCAAAGGCAGGTTGTCACCATCCAATGAGATTAAATGTGGCAGGGTGCATCGTTTCCCACTCGCACAACCTGGCACCTGGGCAAAACGTCTCCTAGCCCAAACAACTGATGAAAACAGAAGACTTAATCTTCGGGCTTGCCATCTGCGAGCGAAAAAGCAGAAGCAAGCCACTCCCAAAGCAGATCAAAGATGATCCAACAGTTGTGTCCAACGTTGGTTTTTGTTGGATCAGGAAATCCGTCGGAGTCCCGACACAAAAACAAGAGGGTTCGACATAGATTCGCAGATGTGCTTTTGGCAACTTGGGCGCGTCATGTGCATCTGCGAAAAGTAGCCTTCTACTACAGTATTGCTTTGCGGTGTTTAAAACAGCTGCTTCGACAGCTGGCGACAAGGATACATGGCTCAAGTTGAGGACTGGACAGTTTCACGCGAATGCTCTGAAGGAGATGGTAAGGGTGAATTACACATCCCTTGTCCCTGGCAATTTCACTTGACAAAACGGAAAAGGCGGGAGCCGGGGGGGGGGGGAGGGAATTGAAAATCATGGGCCCCTCCTCTACGCTCTTCGTGGTACACCTTTTCCACAAATTAGAGCTTTTGGCATAGCTCGCGGTCGAATTGTCCAAAGAATCATTTGGCCGGTTTTGACGCGGACTCGAAGCAGCTCTAGATGTCAGAGGTGTTGTTGTCAGAGTTGAAGGCAGTGGCAGAGGGGAGGAGAAGAAAGGAGAATGGTGATGTTTCAAGACAGAGTCCTGCCACACCCCTTGGGAAAGAATTTTAGAGACACAGGTGTTGAACGATGTGGAAAATGCCAGGGCATTTCTCCGTGCCTTGTTGAAGAAGCAAGAGAGGTGTCAGCACAGTCGTTCCGTTTGCATTACAGATTTGGTATTTGTGGACATCGGCATACCCATGTGACGAGGCGTCGATCCGAAAAGACGAGGTGTGGCAGAGTTTGGAGCGAATGGTTTGAAGATGTTTGAAGTTGAATCTTCCTCAGGCCCTGGATGGCTAGCCGGCTTGCCTCACATTCGACTTGTGTCTTGTGTGATTTAGGCTGGCGGCCTGCCGTTGCCAGCAGGGATTGTGTTGGAAAACACATTTACGTCCTTGTCGTGGCCTCATGATGAGTCACCCGTGACTTTCCCACAGCTGTCCAGCAGAAGCAGCCTCAGGCGAGAAATGGCCCTGCAGATGTTTCCCTTCCTGTCGATACTCAGGCCTTCGCTCGTCACAAGCGGATTAGCTCAAAGATCCCCTTACGCATGGCCTGAGATGAATCCTGTACTACTCCGCATCCATGCCCCAATGCCGGTGCCACCTCAAGCCATGCAGAGTTTGGTGAAGTATCTGTAGCCCTTCCGAAACTCTGAGACTGACACCGGAAAGCAACATAACAGGAGCATGACTCGACAAACAAACTGCCCTTGTTTCGGTCGGTTACAGGCCATTGCTGCGAGCACCTTTGATCTTTGACGAGTGGGCTTCCGCGGAAAGCTGCAGCCCCCAGAGTCTATTTGTGCCCAACTGGAGCAAAGCTACTCATGTTACGACCATGTTACTCAAGAGACCATTGGTCGTTTGGCAAGAGTGTTGGAGGACGTGCAGTACCCTACCCAGGCTTGCAATTTTTCGCAAGCAATCACAAGCTGTGGTGCTGCTGCCTGTTCAGTGGGCTGCAGGCCGGGGTGCTCTGTGTATTCGGCTGCCAGAAGTTAGCTCGGCCAACGAGTGACTCCTCATGGTTTCCTGTCAGGACCAAATAGTACCTCCAGCACAGATGAAGGAGCTCTACATGTTATTGCCTTTCGGCTGCACATGTCTCGCAGCTTATAGATGCTAGAGCAATGACTTGTTCTGTGCTGAGCTGGACGAAAGGTCTAAGCAGCGTCCAAGAGTGTTGAAGCCAAAGCCTCAGCTGACCAACTGAACCAAGTGTCACAGAGAAAGCCGGTCGTGGCTTCCCTTGCTGACTTCTGGCGTGTGGTCCGACTGTTTTATGGGCCTCTGTGCATCAGAAGTGCAGCATACCTCCCTATGGCACGCCGTGGAAGGCTAGCATGTTCAAGATTTGGCATGTCCATCTTGAGCAGCCTAGTGGCAAACTTTGAGATATTTCCGATGCAGCAGTACCACTCATTGAGTGCCAGCTATGATGCCTTCGGACGTCGGACTTGTCTGCAGCTTCGCACTCAGGTGCTTCAATTTTCCCATGGGTGGTCACAATGACACACCTCAGATGGGTGGCGCGGACTATTGGGCGCCTGCTGCCTGGAGTCTCTGTGCCGCGCTGTGTGGCGGGCTGTGCGCCTTCAGTGAGCCCTTCTCAGGTCATTCAAGAAGTTCATGGGCCTGGTGAAGGAGAGTGAGTCCGAGCGCGAGACATGTCCAAAAGGACAGCTGCTATGTGCGAGTATGTGCGAGTGAGAGGAAGCCACGTGGATGCCATGTGAGAGGTTGCAGCACGTGCTTCTTCGGTGACGACCGGCTAATTGGATCTAAGCGGTAGGTACACGACACGTGTGTGGATAGTTTAGGTATTGGCAGTTCACGGCAGGTTTATCTGTAAAAGTTGTAGTCACGAGACGGCAAGAAAGCGAAGACCCATCATCTCGTTAGCTCATGCCACGATGTATGGTTGAGCGTGCGGCTTGCCTTTGCTTGCACCTTGGGGCTGTCTTCCGACGGCATCGCCGACAAAGCATGTACTGTGGTTGAGGCCGAGCTGCGGGATGGGGCAGCTTGACAGGGCCTTAGCGCCGCAGTGTGCATTCAGCACGCCGGCATCTAGCAGTACCCACACGTGCAGACAGTGTGAATTCAGCAGAGACAGAACGAGACAGAGTGCGTACTGTAAATGGTTATAAGTTATCCATGTCAAGCACGTGTATCGACTGCGCATAGACGTTAGTCGTGCATGTTGATCTGGTAGCTTGCGCAGGGACTGCCCCAAACGATGGCATTTAGGAGAGGACGTGTCGGTATGGCGGCATTCGCTGATGTCTAGACCCCCAAATCCCCATGTTCGAGATGTGTAAGCATGTACGGCAGAGAATCGAGAGTGACGTAGATCGCCACGGAGGCGTACATGTGTGTCTACAGGTGTAGTAGGAGGACTGGGGCGAGTGCTTGCAGGTCGCCTGAACGCAATGCTTAGGCGTTTTGGAGCTTGCTCCGAAGAATTCGACAAACACCTCCAGCATGCATGGCTGCACACCGCAACTTTCGAGAACGATTCTTCGGACACAGATTTTTTCCATGAAGATGGTATAAGATGGTGGAAATGATGATGATACTTTGTGTTTCAGAGGTTGTTATCGGCCACAGCGGCCGCAAGGCACAAAGAATCAGCTGCCGAGGAGTCGAAGCTCTCGGAGCGCTGCTCAGAGGTCCGATGCAACGATAGACTTAAAGTTTAAGTCAGTTTCAGTGTTTCCAATCTCTGTGAAGCCGCGAAGATGTCATGTGCACAGTGCGCTCGTTATGCATCTAGTTCGACGGGGCCATGGCAGCAGTGGTAGCCAGACTGTCAGTTCGCCGCCGAGAGAGATTCCAGAGGTAGTCGTACTGATGTTGGTTGGGAAATCTGTATACTGCAAGTGACGACATGAGAAGTGCAGATGCTTGAGGCATCTTGAAACAACACTAGGCAGGACGTTATCATTCATAGATCTGCTAGTCTGGCACTGTTACTTGTACTCCATCCGATAACTTCGTGTTCTCTCCCGCCGCTTTGCCCGTGAAGCTATGGAAACTGGTGTAGAATGCCCGTTTGGCGAGTGTCCTAGTCCTGCGTTTTGATATACTGCCCCTCCAGACTGTGTGCCGTCCCTTGCTAAGAGATGGAGGTGTGCTCTATCGCAGACGGGAAGGAGCGCATCGAAGCGCAGGCAGGTGGCACTTGCTGCGCGGGCAGGGAACGTGCAGCCCCCGCCCCGCCTTGCTCCGCCCGGCCCGCCCGCCCGCTCGCTCGCTCGCTCGCACTCACTCAAAGACTGGCAGGCGACAGACGCGCTTCTCAGTCGACAGAAATGAGCAGTGAATCTCAATCACTGCTTATCAATTCGTACTCCTGGTCGCTGCATCTCCTGGCCTTGAAAGCGATCACGCTCGGCATGGCAAGTGGGTGAGCTCATTCAGAAACTGCATTGTGCGCTCACAGCATTCTTGGTATCATGGCATTGCGATCGTAGGTGACACGCTGAAGCTAATCATGAGTGGGCCTGAACACTGTAGCCACGCGACGTTTCAGACTCGACTTGGGATTCCTTCACCCATGCATTTGGTAACGCGCCATCGGAGGACAAATTTTAAGATTCAACAGCATTTTTTTCTGATCCTTCAGTGTCTGTTAGCCGTTAGCCTGCAGCTCGTCACTTTACTATCCTTCAGCGTGGATCATTTTTGTGATCGGGGCTTGAGCAGCCAACCAGCAACAGTTCAATCTGCTTGGAAGGGAAGGCCTCGCGGTCTTCTGCTTTCTAGCTGGCTCTTCCGCTTTTCATTATCATTAATTTCGGCTGGGGCTTGTAATTCAATCGAGATTCAACTCGACCGTAGGTTGCTCGAGAAGCCGCAAGTGTCGTGAAATCTGTTTGCTTCGATGTGACATTCGATCCATGACTGTAGAAGTCACAGCCAGCTCCAGGTATCATTCGGTCCGTGGTTCGAGCATGAAGCGCTGGCTGCTTCAACCGTCATATGCCAAAATGTCACAGACTCCAGACAACTGCATTCAAAATACCTTGCTAAAGTCTAGTGAGCATTGACGACAAGATGACAGTCACGAGATTCGGTTCGCTCGCGGCAGAGTGAGTGATCACAGCCGGCTTCAACTAGACCACTTTTCACCGTCTCTTCATTGGGGCTGGTAGGTTGCAGTCCAGCAGCCTTGACGAAGCAATCTCCCTGCATTCAGCGACGGAAACGGAATTCCCTCTGGCCCGTAATGTTCAAGGTAAAACGCAGTTGACGCTGAGCAAGCCTTCCTGCGAACATCTTCAGTTTCTTTCCCGACAGGCTCGTCACTGGTTGCAAGAACTGGTTAACCGGGTGCAACCTCTCGGGCAACAGCTGGCATACAATCCACAGATGAACAAGACCCAGGAGCAGCCCGTCAACCCGCTTGCCTTTCAGAACTCGCTCATCTTGTTCTCAGGAAGCAGCGTGATGACCATTCTGATTGTCGGTCATTGTGCGAGTCATCAGAGGTACTTTCAGTCGTGCTTGGGGCTTGGTTCCATTTCTTCCATATCATATCATCCCAACTTGAGCCGTTCCTTGCATCCTCGAGCCTCGTACTAGTCATCGTAGTAATCATTCGGTGACCATCCGTGTCTTTCATTCCATCCGTCGTCTAGGGCTCCGATCATCTTACGAATGCTCGTAGCCGTCTTCCCGCACAATATCTCGTCTTCTTCGTTCCGAAACGCTCGGCGCAATGTTGATGAGCATCTCTACTCCAGTGACTCGGGCTTCCGCATTTGAAGCATCGCTTTCCGTGCTTCCTTTTTTTTTCGTTTGCCCACCTACCCGAAAACGATTTTTTGTTCCTTTGCCTTCACCTTCCATTCCTTTCCTGTGAATTCTGTCATCGACATACTGGTGCCAGGTGTTCATCATTCAGCTGCATTGTGCTCAGTATTGTCGAGCCAAGTGATTGCTCTTTGTGCACCTAGAAACTAATCTTGACATGTCGTAATCATCTTGCTGTTCACACGGAAAGGCTTCTGCAATTGGCCGGTGGCCTTCTGCATCAACAAGCTAGTAGTCAGCAAGCTGTCGTCAAGGGTTGTCCTGCTGACTTGTGAAGTCAGTCAGTTCAAGCGAGGAAATGGGTAAAAGCTCTCGCCAGACTGTGTGATTGTGTGACCTCGTTCAACAGGCTGGTTGACTTAGCTCTCTCTGGCACGCAAAGTGGGCACTCGTTTTCTTCCAATTCTCGAAACCGGTGAGACCTTTTTCCGTGTCGTCAGACCTGACAACTGATCGTGCAATTCCAGTGGTCTGAGTACATGGCACAGCATCTACCATATTTAGGACAGGATGACATGAGCACGACATGCGTAGGCCCACATGTACCATCGTTTCGGCATGTCATCAATGTCGCCAAGCAGATGTCATTGTGTCGTGTGATACCACGCTACATTTGGAAAGGAAAGTTGGTGCGGAACGCCATGTACTGCACACACACACACACTCTCTCTCTCACAGCAGATCTCAAGTGATGTGGTGCTTCAAGCATGAAGGCGATGCCCAAGCAAATTGCAGAGGGCCATGCAATGTGACATCAACATGTTCTTTATAGAATCTCCCGAAATTTCCTGTTGCTCTTTGGGCTTCGATCCTGTGGTTTACCTGTTGCGCCCCGAATGGTCTTCTGGCAATCTTCTAGCCGTGTCGCTTTCTTTCCCTGCCACCCGTCCGATGGTCCAGTAGACGGCAGTTTCAATTTTCCGCATAGCCTGGCCTTGCCTTGTAAAAAGTTCCCTGCAAGCATGAAAGACCCTGACACAAGAGTTAGAGCAATTTACAGTAGCACGAACAATGCATGCCATGACCCTTACAGAGTCATCCAAGCTCCAACCCGGTGCGCGGAAGCGCACTTGCAAAGAAGAGCAGCGAAGACCAGCAAGCATGTGCAACGCATGGAGGCATCCTCTACACCACGACTGCTGCAGACTCAGCTTGCCTGTGGGCTCCGCCAACAGTTAGTTGCTCCCGATCACGATCACGTGGATTCCCCTCTGGATGATGTATGCCCAGTCGCTGGGGTGAACTTGCAAAGCATGTGCAAGTACAAACCGCCTGGGCTAGCGGCAATACGGATCAGCAAAAGCCGATGGCGGGAGTGTGAAGCAACCTATGCCCCATGCCTGAAAGCCAAAAGCTCTGCATGACAGCTGACTGTCTTGGCTTGGCTTGGCCAGGAACTGGATAATTACCACGACCGAGAACTTGCACCGTGACCCCCTAGCATCACCGGATCGAGCTGCTGCGTCCCGCCACCACGAATCCGCAACGACTGTTCAGTCTATCGATGTAGGCACTACGACCACTATCGTCTACCAACCTGGCAGCCACTTCAACACTCACAGCTGCGTCTGGTATATTCCGAGGCAAGAGAGGACATACATTACTACGAGAGGCGACGAGACCTCTGCTTTGCCCATATCGATGCGATCGACGGCGCCTCAGATCGCAATCCTGCAAGCTGGTCTCTAGGGGAAGAGTGGCAAACTCCGAGGCAGGCACCGACCGCAAGGTTCACTCCACGCTTTGACGTCGCCATCAACGGCACGTCGGTCTTCCCGCGATGTGTTGTGACGGTATTCTGTGATGCGAGCCCCCTTCCACTGGGTCTCTGAAGAAAATCTCTCTCTCTCTCTCTCTCTCTCTCTCTCTCTCTCTCCCTCTCCCCCTCTGTT